AGGAAATTGTAATTTTTATGATTAATAGATTATTGATTGGTAAACTTTATCCTTTCCATATAATAAACTGTGGCTCAATTTGGCTTTCTTAAAGCCTCTCCTTGTATCTCAATCAACCAACAACTTAAGTCTCAACCAATGAACGACGGAAGTCTCATAAAACACAGTTTGAAGTGTAAGATGCCTAATTGCCCTGTCCCCTGAGGGCACTGTTGAGAGAGATACACAGAGGGTATGCATGGTTGCCACAAACAAAACTTTGCAAAATTCCCTGACTCTCAAGGCACTGACCTACACTGACCTATCCATGATAAAAATAAAATTTCCTTGACCAAATAGAGACAAAATGTCTAACCTCCCCTTTTAGCCTTTCAACAGCAGTTTTTGCCTTCTTCATTAAAACATTGAGATCTTATGAAATATTTCTTCCACCATGGTATGAAACTCAGTGATGTAAAGACTTGAATCTCACTGACTTTTCCTGACCTTGAAATTTCTTTCCGTGGCCATTTTTTGATCTGTGGTAGCCCTGGTAGGGCAAGATTCACACTACACAGCAAATTAAGATGGAAGGGAAAATGCTCAAAGTTCAATGACTGTCCTTTTCAGTCAAAAGTTTTGCCTGTCTGCCTGGCAAACAGATATGAATAAATTCCCACTTATTCATTTCAGAATGTGGCAAATTCCCTGCCTCATTTTATGAAAATGATCGTAATTTTGTTCAATTTCATCATAAAAAGGAGACAAATTGCGAGGGCCATACTCTCCCCTCCCCCTATAAGTTTATGTTGTACAATGCAAGATCATGCTAGTCATGTTTATGTTCAGCTTCCATTCGGTTATATCATTTTTTGTAACCAACTGCAAATTTTCTGATACCTATTATAATCTATTTTGATGCTGACAGAGACTTACCTTGCTCTTGTCCAGGGTCTTTTATTCTGTTTGGCTAATGCTTTCCATTTGCCATAGTAAATTTGTGCCAATTCCTTAGTGTGAGAATATGCATCTCTTTCCTCTTGAATTTGCATTTCCCTGTTCTCCCTTTCCCTTGCTGTCCTTGACAATC